CCTCTAAGATGAGAACCTTCTGGAATCCTTTCAAGACTCTGACCTCGTCATTGACATTTATGTTCAGAATGCCTGTTTTCATAAAATTTTGGATTAATTTATACTCTAAATGCCAGTCAACGAGACTTCAATATTTTTCTCCAGTTGGATACTCATTTTAATTTGAAGTGGAAATACCATTGATTATAGAATTTACACTTTCATAGTAATACACAGTACATTCAGTGAAAAGGAATGACTTTTATAAATGAGAGAGAAAAAAAAATCTTTAGAAAGATGTGTAGGATGTAGGTCTGCCAATGCTGCTCAGCAACAGAATTAGGTTTACAATTTGCACCTAAAGTCATCAGAACTTTAGGGGAGCTGATGGTTACGGTTGTCCACACAGCTCGAATGTGTTTACATCACCAGCTCACTATAGGAAACCCATCATGAGGAGACTTTGGGCTTCCTGGTATGGAGGTGTTCGGCTGGCAAATGGGTAAGTGGTTCCAAATCTGGAGACAAAGTGCACCCCGTGTGACTGAGCAGTGAGGGGACAAAGAGGCCAACTTGGGTCAGACTCTGGTCAATGCACACACCTCTTCTACTGTTGCCATACTGAATAGCCTCTGCCTGTAAGGAAGCTGTTCTCAGAGTATAAACCACTTGATTCCTAGGAGTCCTCTCTGCAATGGAACACTTAGGGTGATGAATGCGTAATTAACACAGGTGAGATCTATTTCTCCCTGATGGCTCCAGGCAGCCAAAGGCTCCAAAACAAGGGGTGTTTGTGAGACTTGCTAAGGGTGGAGAAGGATCGGTAACCAGGGAGCTATTAAGGCTAGTTCCATTTAATGAATTTATTTGCATTATCATTTATTCCTTACTGTGTTCAAGGTGCCATTTTAGGTCCTGGGCGTTACACAACTCTGAACAAGATATAGCTGTTTGTAATTCAGAATTTTTTTTTTAAAGATTTTATTTACTTATTCATGAGAGACAGAGACAGAGGGAGAAGCAGGCTCCATGCAAGGAGCCTGATGTGGGACTCAATCCTGGGTCTCCAGGATCATACCCTGGGCCGAAGGCAGGTACTAAACCGCTGAGCCACCCAGGCTGCCCCCCTTTTATTTTTGTATTAAAAACATAGTGCGTTTATTTAAACTGTTGCTTTTCATAATTCATTGAATCTTTTTTTTTTTTATAAATTAATTTTTATTGGTGTTCAATTTACCAACATACAGAATAACACCCAGTGCTCATCCCGTCAAGTGTCCCCCTCCGTGCCCGTCTACATAGAAAACCCAAAAGCCTCCACCCCAAGATTGCTAGAACTCATACAGCAATTTGGTAGCGTGGCAGGATACAAAATCAATGCCCAGAAATCAATGGCATTCCTATACACTAACAATGAGACTGAAGAAAGAGAAATTAAGGAGTCAATCCCATTTACAATTGCACCCAAAAGCATAAGATACCTAGGAATAAACCTAACCAAAGAGGTAAAGGATCTATACCCTAAAAACTATAGAACACTTCTGAAAGAAATTGAGGAAGACACAAAGAGATGGAAAAATATTCCATGCTCATGGATTGGCAGAATTAATATTGTGAAAATGTCAATGCTACCCAGGGCAATTTACACGTTCAATGCAATCCCTATCAAAATACCATGGACTTTTTTCAGAGACTTAGATCATAATTCATTGAATCTTATCCCAGGTCAATATCTTCATTCTATTACCTTACTGAATACATTCGTTAGTGTTACATAAAATTTCACATAAAATTACATACAAATTAAAAGTACAGTTAAGAACATAGTCATGATCTGTGTGAAAGGATTCACCGTTATGGCACCCTAGTCCCTGATGGGAGTACTTTTTCTGTTTTGTGGGCTTCACAACCTTAGACTCTCTTCTGTTTTAGAGAAAATAAACAGCTCCTCTGAGCTCTATGCCACGAGGTGCCCAGCCACTGCATTATCGGTTTGTGTTCACCCAGTGGTACCTGTCCACCCGGTGGTTAGCAGCAGACCTCTGACCTTTAGGATGTTTATGCAATGCATGAGAAGTGTTCCCTAGGAGGCCCATACGGCCATCTGCCATATTCTTTTTGCGGGAGACATGGAACCAAGATTGAAGGGTGGTTTTAAGTTTTCAACCTGATATATACTCTACTCTACAAATAACTCTACTCCAAAGCAGCATCTGATATATTCCTTAAAAGTGGTATAAAAGAGTATCATCCCTCTTAAAGACAAGCATGGAGAAGGGAAGCACTGTCTTAAGTCAAGGGCCAAAGTGTTCCGGATGAGATTTAAAGTATGGACAGGATTTATATTTGTAGAAGGCAGGGGGCAGGTGGAAGGGGGATTGTTTTGGAAGATGGGATGACATGAGCAAAGTCCTAGGGGAAGGAGAGCACAGTGTGCCTGGGGAGTACTAAGTACTATGGACTTGTAAGCTGGGATGAGGGATCTTGGATTTCAGTGTCTTGGGATAGGTTTGTAGTTTGAAATTTGAGTTGTTTAGAGCAGAGTGATATGTTGAGCTCTTAGAATTGTCACTGGCATACACAAAAGGAGAGATGAATAGGGGGAGGAGAGGGGAGGGAGACAGCTATGAAGGAGTTACTGCAAGCCTAAGAATAAAGTTCAAGGTGGCTCTAGAGGTGGCATGGCATTTATTTGTTAGGTCAGTTCTCTCTCAAATTTTTTCAGAGACAGTTGTAATTTTTTCCCTCCATCAGGGTTTTGCTTTGAATGTGAGAATTTGGAAAAGTGTACATAGGAAATGTATGACTTCTAATTGTGTAATGACAGGACATTTCATGTTGAACCCTAGCTTCTTGTGTAAAATGATCTCCTGAGTGAGAATAGGAGCTCCCTGATGTTAGGACAATAACTTATTCACTTCTTTCTTCCCCAGAGTGCAGAGCTGGTGCTGGTGCATATGCTTGTGATACGGTGACAGTGTACACGGTGAGATGACATGAACACTGGGGTCTGTTGTAGCTCAGTGAGATGCTCAAATGATAAAGGTTGCCACGTGTCCAAGCATGTGCAATGTAGAGGGTGAGCACTGATTGACATGTGCACTGATAGGGGTAACTTTATCCAGTTAGTTTTGGGATGGAGGGAGCAGGCTAGAAGGACAGTATTCTTTGTATGGGCAGGTCAGTATCTGTGTGATGTATCACAGATAAAGGACAATGAGTCTTGCCCATTACAAAGACAGACAATCAATGAATGCTGAATGACCTAGCAGGAATTTCCTCAACAGATCTGCCATACCCAGAGGTTGTATTGCAACAAGGCCCTCTGCTTAGGTCCTCAGACCCCATGACTCTACAAAGAAGATGGGAAAAATTGTAGCACCCCTCTGGGGGGAAATGAAGGGCAGTGGACTATGTTTGTGTGCAGAGTAAGGACCACTGTGGGATGGAACAGGCACCATTAGGAAAACATTCTTTTTTTTTTTAGTTTTTTTTTTTAAAGATTTATTTATTCATGGGAGAGAGAGAGAGAGAGGCAGAGACATAGGAAGAGGGAGAAGCAGGCTCCATGCAGGGAGCCTGATATGGGACTCGATCCCAGGACTCCAGGATCACGCCTGAGCCGAAGGCAGACGCTTAACCACTGAGCTACCCAGGTATCCCCTTTTTTTAGTTTTTTATTTTAATGCCAGTATAATTAGCATAGAGTGCTATATTATTTCCAGGTGTACGTGACAGTGACTCAACAATTTTGTTCATAGGAAAACATTTTTAGCTGATCCCTTCTCATTTCCTTGCAGAAAGTAGCGATAAGTCCCATCCTCTGCTGTGTGAAGGCTTTGAAATCTACTGGCTGGGAGAACCCAAATATGATGAAAAGGCCACCCTTTTTGTAATCCTTCATATTAACTAGGGAGCAGAGGAACATGTTCGAGGCTTCTGAAACAGGAGGGCTGTAAAGAGTTTGTGGCCTGGCACAACTGACAAATGGATGGCATTTGTCAAAAATAGCACTAACGCTCCTTTTGAGTCACCTCCAAGGATTTTCATCTCATGTAGAAATTTACTCTGTAATTATGTCATAAAATCCAAATTATGGTTTCATAATACCAGAATTACCAATGAAACAGTAATGGCTTAAACTCAAGTTAGGTGCATTGTCTTCCCTTCCTCTGCTGTGTCATGCAGACTCCAGCATATACTTCGAAAGAAAGAATCCTTCCCTGTAATTTAATTAAAGGCACCCATTACTGATCAGGATTTGGGTTAGGTCATGTGAGGAATTTAGAAGCAGCATAAAAAGTGGGCCTTGTCTTAAGCTCAACATAATTCATTAATTCAGGCAGCCTATACAGCTCATTGAGTTCTGTGCATGGTACTAACATCTATACTCCAGTACCAGGAAGTAAATCTATCATGGAACAATGGACAAAGTTCCATGGGAGCACAGAAGCAGAACAAGTCTTTGGTCCTAGAGGATTTAGAGAGCACAGAGCTGAGGTCTGAGTTCAGTCTGGGGGATGAAGAAGAGATTGTCAGAGGACAAAAGGGTGTGTACAAAGGCATTTTAAGGAGAAGAAAGAGCTTGAAGGTAGAATTTTGGAGCATAAGATGATATGGCTGAAGGGGCAAGTTTAACTGTCAAGGTGATAGAAATATCTCAAAATAATAATGACAATATAATACACAATTTGTAAGAGGGGGCAGGTTCCTAGACTCAACAAACTAATTGTTGGTCCACAGTAAATAAATCTTTTTCCCCTTCTCATTAATTTGGCTTTACTTCCAAGGATAGGCAAATTAGAGAAATAAAGAAGCAGCTTTGCACAGAAGCTGAAAAAAGACACCTTTTAAAAATATATACATATTATTTGCTGTTTGTGCAATTTCAATCATTCATCCAGGTATCAAATCTCAAATAAAGCACAGATAGGACGGTAGCTTGAATTATAATTAAATTATAATTATAATGTCTTGATGGACAAGATCACTGGTGACAGAAAAAGGACTGAAATTCTTACTTGTCCCTAGGCCTGGATTAACTCTTTGTAGACTCTGGGATGCGCTGCCAAGGATAGTTGGTGTGGCTGGAACAGAAAGGGAAGAAAACCATTAGTCATCCCTGTAAAAATGGTCTGATGTGACTCTATTACAATTTCACTTTCAAGTGACAAAAATGTGACCTGGCTCAACCTCACAATAATTCTCTCCCTTGTTTTCCTTCTTTCTTTTTAAAATTAAAATCATACCTACTCTCTAAAAAGAACTCATAAATATCAGAGCACATGGAAACCCAGTGTTAGTCACCTCTGGTCTCCTGGCTAGACATGGTCAGGAACAATGGAAAAACGCCTTCCTAGAACATCTGAGTCCAAGCTTCAGTCTTGCTTGTGAAAATGGAGAGGAACATAAATTCTTTTTTCAAAAACAGTATTAAAAACATTTCAGTCAAACAAGTTTATTCTTGGAAACAAACATGTGAGCAATCCTGGGAATGGGGAAGGGATGAGGGGAACTGAGAAGTTAGGACGGACACGGAACTTTGTGACATGAGACGGGCAATGAGTCATCTATTCTAAAAGTGGTTATAATTCTATGGATACTACTATTATGTTGCATTAAAAACAGGAAGAATGGAAAATGATCAATGTAGTTGTCATCGAACTGTTGAACTGGGTCATTTTGCTACAAGAGTCTGCAACTGTTATCTGGGGCTTGGTGGAGAGAGGGGGTTTCTCTTGGATTCTGTACCTCCTTAGAGGGGCAACATGGTCCTGGCTCACAATAAACTCTGATGAAACCGCTGATGCTTTTGGTCCTCAGTAGAAACCTACAGAAACAACGCTAAGAAATCCTTCTCTGATTATGAAAAAAGAGCGAGGAACAAAACAAAGATGCCCTGGGCAGTGAGCTGACCCACTCCTGTCACCCTGAATCTCCTGTCCACTTGCCCCCATCTTTTCAATACGCTTTTTCACTAGCTCCCCCTACCCAGCTACCAGTAGGAAGCAGGTGTCAGGTCTGGTGTTCAAAATAATAGAACCCAACAGATGAAGTTAAGAGCCTCTCATTAAACTCTGCAGAATTCTAATCTTTCTTAAGTTTTTCAGTCTGCGCACATCAGTGAGAGCATTTTTCCAAGGGAAGTTAGGCTTTGGGGGCATTGATGAGTTAATATTTTAAATTCTGCACAAATATAAGTTCTAAAAGTATTCTTTATTTTCTCTCTAAATTTTAATATTAGAAGCTCATTTGCTGCCAAATGCAATAAAGAATTATGACAAAAAGCAAGAATACACATTTGCCTAGAGTTAATGTACTGCACATTGATTTTAACGTGACCAGAAGGAAAATCGCATTTTATGAAAGTCCCCTGAAAGCTACTTGACTAGATGCCTCGATATCCTCAGTCTTTATTATTACCATCATCTGGAACATGCCCTCCTCCAATTCCTTGCTACAAATCAGACAACACTTTGTTTTATGACTCTTTGCTTTTAAGATGAGAACTAAAACATTCTTCTCAGTTGAGGGTTGGTATCTTTACATAATTTCTAACTATAAATGACCTGTTTCACTGACAACTGTATACACCTGGAGAAACTTCTGATAGCTCAAAGGAAGAGGAAAATGAAGTCAACCATGAGATGTCACACAATCACACGTATTATTTTGGTCAACAGTCTCCAGCCAGTGTGTCTCAGTTTTCAGCTTAAAACTGGGAACACTAACGGACACCAGTTTGCACGCAAAGATCAGCAGCAAAGCTGACAAATTTCTCCAGAATGATGACTGAGATGGAATGTGGGGGTCAATTAGGCCCCGAGGGAGCTTGCAGAGCCAAACCGCAGGCCCGGAAATGCCTGGGGGAACCCTGGTCACCCCTGACTCTTCACAAACCAGGATTTTGCTTTCCTTGCAGACAGACATCTGGTGCTTTCTTCTCTATGGTATCAGCATTTGGTAACGTTTTCATACAGCAAAAAGTCCTCCTCAGCTAACACTCTCCACAATATGTGATGAGTCAAGACATAAAAGGACAAATGGTGTCCCAAAGGAAAGGCCACAGATTTGTGCCAGCCCCGCAGGGGTGCTGGTTACAAAAGTAAAATGCAATGAACCAAACCTCCTTCTTAGTAAACAGAGGCGTCAAGCAAAGTTGCCAATTTTAATTAGTGTCAGAGCTGTCCTAATGTCTAAGTGCTGAGCAGTGAGGGAAAAACAACGACAGGGTGACAAGCAGTTAATGAAAAACTCTGATATATTTAAGGTGCTTATGCTATGAAATGGATTGGCTGCAGCCTCTGGCCTCAGCAGGCTAATAGTCTTCAGGGTTAGAATCTATAAAAGAAGGAGTGGCCAAGCAATAGGGTGGCCTTTAACAGCGTGGACAAGCTCCCTGGGGAAGGGGACTTGTTGAGACAGGTGCTGGACTTGGGATGAACAGGCACAGGCAGCTGGGGCCAGAGGAATGACTACACAGCCTGGTTAGGTAAAGAGCCCTTATCTGTCTGTCGGGAGTGGCCAGAGCACGGCTGAGCTAGGGTGTGTTGAGTTGGGGGAGAAGCTAGGGGGACGCTGGGGACAGTCTTCCCAAAGAACTTAATTTTGACCCTGCGAACACTGGGGAAAAGCGAACGCTTTCCCGTGCCCTGATGTAGAACTCCTCATAGTGGACCTTCCCAAGAACAGGACCCCAAGACTGGGATTAACTGCAATCTATTCTTTCCCATTTATGTCCAACCTGGTACTCAACTTCCCAACTATGGCATGTATCTAGACCTGGTTTCTCGTCTATAAAATGAGGACAGTGACAGTATCTATTCATGCAATGTTTAAATCAAATCAGTATATGCAATACACTAAATATACAATATAGGTAAGTAGTAAATGTTAGATATTCTTTTTTTTTTTTTTGCAAGGATGAGGAGGAAGGGAGAGAAAGGGGGAAGGACAGAGGGAGAGGAGAGAATCTTGAGTGTGGAGGCCGAGAAAATTAAGGCCATTCCACCTTAATTCAGTGCTGAACTTAATTCAGTGTTAGCGCAAGTACAGCCATCTCAGGCCCTTGTGAATAAGAGCTGAAATTTACCTTACTTCAGTTGGGGGGTGGGCAGCCTAACACCCTCGAAAGTCCCATATTAGAATGAGAACAGAGCTTAATGCCCTTGAAAGCCCCATATCAGAATGTAAACAGAACTTGAGAAATTCCTCCCTGCCTTCTGGAGGTCCCCTTGACCAGCCCATAAAACTAAGCTGGAAACCACCTTGGGGTCCAAGTCCCTGCTCTGCTGTGTCGGTTATACTCGGACCCAAGCTCGAGCTTGTTAATAAACCCTCGTGTACTTGCATCGGTGTTGGCTCCTCAGTGGTTTCTTGGATTCACAATCTTGGGCACAACATCGAGCAGACTCCATGCTCAACCCAGAGCCTGACATGGGGCTTGATCTCACCACCCTGAGATCATGACCTGAGCTGAAATCAAGAGTTGGATACTTAACCAACTGAGCCACCCAGGTGCCCCACTGTTAGATAGTCTTATCATAGTTATTATTGCTAACCACTATTCTGGAAGCAAGGGTACATCTTTTCCCACAGAGAATCTGACAGTGTTTTTACGCTAGGCTGTTGAGGAGAGGAAGCTGCCCTAAGCCCAGCAAGACTACCATTATTAACATGTACTGTGCAGGCTATATGTGGGCAGCGGGACTCTGGGGAAGTGATTTCGGTGGTGTAGGTGATGGATATCTACTTGTGTCAGAGATTTCAGCCTGGGACTAAATGCAGTCAATTCCAGTTCCGTAAATTAGTGAATACTCTCTCAGGGAGTTAGAGTGAGAGAATCAATGTTCTGGGGAGGACTGTAATTTACCAGTTGTTCAGCAAAGGCATTTAGAACCAGCCCAAAACAGACCATGCAAGCACAAGTGAACCAAGATACTGCACACAGCAACCATTTTACACGTGATGAGACACACATAAATGGCCTCACGTTGTGCCTGCCATAAATAAGCATTGGTTAGTGTTAGCTAGCATTATCACTACTAGCTTATGATTATGATAATGATGATATAAGTGCCATGAAATCTCTATCTTAAGACTTCCTCTGTGATCATTGTTTTGCAATACATACATCTGTCAAATGATTATGTTGTACACCTTAAATTTACACACTGTTTGATGTCAATTTTATCTCAATAGAACCGGAAAAAGAACTTCTTCTGAGAGCTTTTTTTTTTTTAATTAGAGTTTTTATTTACTTATTTTATTTATTCATGATAGACATAGAGAGAGAGAGAGAGAGAGAGAGAGAGAGAGAGAGGCAGAGACACAGAGGGAGAAACAGGCTCCATGCCGGGAGCCCAACATGGGACTCGATCCTGGGACTCCAGGACCACACCCTGGGCCAAAGGCAGGCGCTAAACTGCTGAGTCACCCAGGGATCCCCTTTCTGAGAGCTTTTGATTTCTCCTTCAGGCAGGTTAGTTGTCTACCCAACAGCCCTGGGTACTGCTTTTATACCCCTTGCTGTCACAGCTTCCTTGCCTGTGCCTTGGGACACACAGTTTCTTGAGGTGGGTATTTCACCTATATAAACTCTGTTAGGAACACAGGGCATGACAACTAGTAGAATCATAATTTTTGCTAAATAAATGAAGCAAATGAAGAGGAATGACAAATGCTTTAAACTTTGGGGCTAAATGGGATTCAAGTAAAAATAATTTATTATCAGCAAATTGTGTCTCTCCTTGGAAATCTCAACTTTGCTTGACTACTTTCTCTTTTTGATGTCTATTTATTGTTGATCACATAGCAGAAATCTTCTCTCCTTAGGTTTTAATGTCTGTAGCTCTTTCCAGACCCATCTGTTGCCTTTCTGTTCTTTTCTGTCAAACTGTGATCAACAACACTAAAGAGTATTCAGTTTAGAGTCCTTATCTCCCTCCAACCTGCCCTTGTAGTAGGGTTCAAGGTCCAGCTCAGTGTTTGATCACATTGATGCCAGGCTCCAAACTATCCTGCAGCCTGTGGAAGGGCTGGCTGATGGCAAAGTCAAAAAACGTGAGGTGTTTATATCTCACGTACA